GTCTCTGAGCTCGGGGTTATTTTTAGCCGTGACGGAGCTGCCGCGTTACCGAACCTCCCCCGGCCGTGCCAGGGGTGTGGGGGGGACATTGGGGTGCAGCCAGCAGGGCAGGACCCCCCTCATGGGGGCTGGGGTGTCACCCCACAGCACCCAGAAACAATTAAACAATTAAAATTTGCGATTGTTGCCCCGTGGGTGCTGCTGGGGGTATCTTTGGGGGTCGGGGTGTCACCCCACAGCACCCAGAAGTAATTAAACTATTAAACAAACAATTGAATAGTTAAACAATTAATTAAACAATTAAACCCTTAAATTCTGTCATTGCTGCCCCATGGCTGCTGTGGGGGGGTCTCTGGGGGTCAGAGTGTCACCCCACAGCACCCAGCAGAAATTAAACAATTAAACAAACAATTGAAAAATTAAACAATTAAACCATTAATTAAACCATTAAACCCTTAAATTCTGTCATTGCTACCCCGTGGCTGTTGCTAGGGGGGGTCTTTGGGGGTCGGGGTGTCACCCCACAACACCCAGCAGAAATTAAACAATTAAACAAACAATTAATTAAACAATTAAACCCTTAAATTCTGTCATTGCTGCCCCGTGGGTGCTGCTGGGGCGGTCTCCGAGGGTCGGGGTGTCACCCCACAGCACCCAGGAGTAATTAAACCATTAAACAATTAAACTCTGTGATTGCTGTCCCGTGGCTGCTTCTGGGGGGTTCTCCGGGGGTCCCCGTGCCCCTCACCAGCCCCCTCCCCATTCCAGACCTACGGGCTGCACCACCAGGACAGGAACAGCGTGGAGATGTTCACCTTCGTGTGCCGGGTGCACGACGGGAGCCCGGCCGAGGCCGCGGGGCTCAAAGCAGGTGAGAAATCCCGGGGGGACCTCGTGGGGTGACCCTGATGGGGGTGGGGATCGATGTCCCTGACCCCCCCCTTTGCCCACCCTGCTCTCCAGGGGACACCATCACGGGGGTGAACGGGCTGAACGTGGAAGGCATCCGGCACCGGGAGATCGTGGAGATCATCAAGAGCTCGGGGAATGTGCTCCGGTGAGCTGGGGGGGCAGGGGGGTTGGTCTGGGGTGGCCGCAGCCCCCTCCCCCCCTCGCTGACCGCTGCTGACCCACAGGCTGGACACTCTCTATGGGACATCCATCCGCAGAGCCGAGCTGGAGGCACGGCTGCAGTACCTGAAGGTGAGCGGGGGGGCTGGTGGGGTGGTCCTGGGGGGATTTGGGGACCCCTCCCCAGGATTTCTCACCCCCTTCACCCTCCCCGCAGCAAACCCTCTACGAGAAGTGGGGCGAGTTCCGCTCGCTGATGGTGCAGGAGCAGCGGTTGGTGCGGGGTGAGTGGGGACCGGGGGWTTTGTGGGGAGGGGTTTGGGGCACCCCTGACCCTTCTGACACCCCCATTTCTCCCACCAGGCGTGGTGGCCAAGGATCCCAGCATCTACGACACGCTGGAGTCCATCCGCTGGTGCCTGCAGGGTGAAACGGGGCTGGCGGGGGGCTCCTCCCGCGCCAGCGGCAGCGATGACTCCCTGTACCAAACCTGCGTGTTCGCCTCGGCCAGCTCGCTGGACGGCGACAAGGACAAGGATGACGACAAGGATCAGGACAAAGATGAGGACAGCAGGGGTCCCGCGCCACCCCCACCGCGCCCCCSCCCCACCCTGGCCCGCAGCGCCAGCCTCAAATGCGCGGGGGGACCGGGGGCTGCGGGGAGGCTTTGGGCCCGGGCCGGGGAACCGGGGGAGGGGGCGGCCGCCCCCCGAAAGGGCCGGCACAGCAGCTTCCGCCAGCGGCTGCTCAAGTTCATCCCGGGCTTGAACCGAGCTCTGGAGGAGGAGGAGAGTCACCTGTAGCCGGCGGTGCCCGGCCCGCCAGGACTTTTTTATTTATTTATTGCGAGGGGGGCGTCGTTCCCCCGGCTCCCATCCCGTGGAAGGAGGTTTGGGTTGGCCCCGGGGGTCCCGATTTGACCCCTCCGGATGCTGAGGGATGGACACGACAGCGAGGGACAGACGTGAGGATCGTTCCGAGGCAGCTCACGGAGCCGCAGGGGAGCCCCGCATTCCCCAAGTTCGGGGGGCTCTGGGGGTCGCACCCCCTGCCCCCCACCCCAGGCCGCCAATACAGAGACGATTTTYAGCGATTTGTGGCTGTGACTGAGGGGGGACAGAACCCCCGTGGGGACCCCAACAAGCTGCGACCCCCCCTGAAACCGCCCCGATGGGCTCCGGGGTGACCAACCGATGTCACCCTGGACGCGTTTGAGCTGCCGGGGTCTCCCCGTGTCTCTCCCCGCTGCCGCTCGGCCACGTCCCGGCGCTGCGGGGCCCCGGCCAGGCCCTTCCTGCCCCCGTTTCCTCCGGCAGCCGGCGGGAAGCGAGTCCCACCCCGAGCCTTTCCGCCCGCGGGGGGACACGGTGCCCACGCCGGACGGGCACCGGGGTCCCCCCACGCCCTCGCTCGGTGTCCCCCGGAGCYTCTGAAACAGCGTCCGGAGGAGTTGGGGGGACACAAAACACCCCCGGCGAATGTGCGGGGATTCCCTCTGTGGAGCACCGAGAGCCCCCAGCCCGCCGCTCCGTGCCTCAGTTTCCCCTCCTAGCTGGGCTGTTGCGCCCCAAATCTCAGCTTCTGGAGCGTCCCACAGCTCAGCCCCCTCTTTCCCCGGACCCCAGAGGATTCTGTTGGAAATGYGGGGTGAAACCCCGAGGCTGCTGGCTCCCCACCGCTCTCCCGCCTTGTCCCCGTTCCAGGACCGCTCCGTGCTGGACATTTATGGCCAGGCTCCCGCAGCCCCGGCGGCTCCCGGCATCCTCCCGCGTGCTGCCAGGGCCGGAGCACCCCGTTCCTGTCAAAAAGCCATCACGGGACCCCCGTCGCAGCTGCCACCCCCCACGCCGAGCTTTTTATAGCCCCGACCTGGCGCTGCGTGTGCCCGGAAATGGGCAGGTGGCCGTGGGACAGCGGGGTCACGCGTGGCACCGGCTGAGCGGGGCAGGAGCGGGGGGTACGGACCGGGAACGGGCCGGGGCAGCCTGGAATTACCGACAAATATCGACCCGGGGCAGGACCGGGGGTACAGACCGGGAACGGGCCGGGGCAGCCTGGAATTACCGACAAATATCGGCCCGGGCAGGAGCGGGGGTACGGACCGGGAACGGGCTCGGGCAGCCTGGAATTACCGGCAAATATCGGGCCGGGGGGTACGGGCCGGGGCATTTTTTACCGACAAATATCGGCCCGGGGCAGGACCGGGGGTACGGACCGGGAACGGCCCGGGGAAGCCTGGAATTACCGACAAATATCGACCCGGGGCAGGGCCAGGGGTACGGACCGGGAACGGGCATGGGCAGCCTGGAATTACCGGCAAATATCGGCCCGGGGCAGGAGCGGGGGGTACGGGCCGGGGCAGCCTGGAATTACCGGCAAATATCGACCCGG